GGCGGGTGGTGTCCCCCCCCCCCCCCCCCCTCGGGGTTTGGGGTGCGGGGGGGACGGGGTGTCCCGGAGCATCCCCGACTTGTGTTAGCACTGTGGGACCGGGGCAGGGACCGTCCCCCTGTGCTTGGTACTGGTGAGGATGCACCTCAGATCCCTCACCAGCAGAAGGACATTGAGGGGCTGGAGTGTGTCCAGAGAAGGGCAAAGGAGCTGGGGAAGGGTCACACACACAAGTGTGATGAGGAGCAGCTGAGGGAACTGGGGGTGTTCAGCCTGGAGAAAAGGAGGCTGAGGGGAGACCTTCTCACTCTCTGCAACTCCCTGAAAGGAGCTTGGAGCTGGGGGGGGTTGGTCTCTTCTCCCAAGAAAAAAATTACAGGACAGGAGCAAACAGCCTCAAGTTGTGCCAGGGGAGGTTTAGATTGGATATTGGGAACAATTTCTTCCTGGCAAGGGCTGTCAGGCCCTGGCCCAGGCTGCCCAGGGCAGTGGTGGGGTTCCCATCCCTGGAGGGATTTCACAGCCATGTAGCTGTGGTGCTGAGGGACATGGTTTAGTGGTGGCCTTGGCAGTGCTGGGGTAATGGTTGGACATGAGGATCTTAAAGGTCTTTTCCAACCTAAACAATTATATTACTCTTAAGTGCTATGAGATTCCCCCAGGGTACATGAGTGATGTGTCCCTGGTGGGAGGGGGACTGAGGGCTAGGGATGCTGCTCAGGTCCCTGTCCCCCTCCCCGTGGTGCTGTTTTTTGGGGTTGGCAGGAGCTGGGTGTTCCCCATGCAGCAGAGTATCCATGTGGTGGCAGCAAGAGGCAGCTGGAGCTGGGGGATCTGCAGGGGCTGAGTTTGGGAGTGCTCAGCAAGTCCCAACTTAGTGGGTGATTTTAACTCCTTCCACACCAGAGCCCTGCTGAGGGCTAGAAGTTGGTTTTCAACCCCCAGCTGGGTGCTGTAATGAAGCCACCAAATCTGAACATCTGCAGGACATGGCTGAGGGTGGGTGGGTGGTAGGAGCACCTCCTTGGCCAATGAGGGGTCAGTGTTGGTGGTGAGCATCTTGCTGAGCTGCAGGGACGCAGGCAGGACAAGTCGTAGACCTGTGGTCCTGCTAAGCTTGTCCAGCAGCTTCTCCCTGCACCCACCAAGAGGGTCTGCCCCTTGTCTAGGGCACTGCAAGCCCAGCCTGAGCTATGGGCAAGTTGAGAAGCCAGATGCTGAGATGTGCTGGTCAGCTTTGCCAAGTCAGAGCAGAGAGGTCCCTCAGCAGCAGGTCCCTGTCCCCCACACCATGTTGCCCTGGATCACGGTGCCACAGCCATGCAGGGGACAGGGTTAGCAAGGATCAGGCCCCTGCCATGTCAGGATATCCCTTAGCCACCAAACACCATCTCATTGGCCTGTTCTGCTTCACCAGCATTGAGAGGATGGAGAACAAAGGCATGTACCTCCACACCTTCAACGAGAGGGAGAACGGCTCCATCTTCGAGGAGCCCTTTGAGGGAAGGAGCCTTTCCAAACTGAACCTCTGTGAGGATGGTGAGTCTGGGCTCTGTGTGTGGCTTCATCGGGGGGGGCTTTGAACCTGGTGGCAGAAATCTGGAGAGCTTCTGGTGGGACATGGGAGGTTGGATTGCTCAGGGAATAGCTCAACAGTCTAGCCCCACACAGGTGAAGGAGCCAGAGGAACAATCTCTGCCATGGGATTGGAGGTGCCTGGGATGAGGGTGCCTTGGTGGGACCAGCACCATGATTAATGTGTCCCAAATGGTGCAGAAAACTTCTCCTGGCATGGCCTCCCTGGGAGAAACACTCAGGGAATCCCATCCCAAGGAGGGTTCTGTGCCTCTTCTCCTGTCCCCCCACTTTCTGGTTTAATCAGGATAATGACAGACCCAGGGCACCAGGGACCTCTTGACCAGGATCTCATTTGGTTCTGCCACTGACCAGGGCTGTACTTCAGGCAAAGTCACTTTGTTTGCTAAAGGTTGATTTTTTTTGGGGGGGGGCGTGTTTTGAGTTTTTTCTCCTCCCATCCTCTGGCTCAATTACATGTGGGCTTGTCCAGAGGTGCCCTGCAGTGGGGATGGTAGCACCAGGGCTGTGCAGCAGGACACAGTGGAGCCTGCTTGCATCTCCTGCACATCTTGGCTGGTCTCTGTCTCCACTGTGGACCTGCTGAGATCTTTGACTTTGCTCTCACTGTATGAAATGCTGTCCATATTTCACCAGATCCAGGCTCAAAGTAAACAGCCCAGCTGTTCCTCACCACAAGAATGGGACTGGGGAGACAGAGACCTCACCTTCCTGGGTTTAGGCAGATGGGACAACCCTGAGATGTGATGGAAAGCCCTGGGTACTTCCAGAGAGCAACAACCAGCCCTGGCCAAATAGCTTTTGGGTGGCTGCATGGTGCAGGTGGCTTGTGGTCATCACTGTGGGAAGTGTTGCTAGGTGCCTTCTCCTGCCCTCCAACCCCCAGGATGGGCACAGCTTTGAGTCAAAAGGGTGGATTTCCCATCCAGGTGAAAGCTGAGACTCAATGACATTCCACACTCTGCAAGGGTCATCCTGCTCTTGGCAGCACATCTCCTCCTGCCTCTGCCCACCTTCCTGCTGCTGGCTTGTAAAATCCAGCTCCCATCCCACCTTCCTGCAGAAGAATGAGGGGCAGATCTGTCTCTGTGCTCTGCCTCTCAGCAAATGCTGAAGGCAGGTGGTGGAGTGTGGAGAGAGTGAGGCTGGAAGAGATGAAAGAGTTGGTGTCCTCCAGGACTGAGGACACCATAGAGTAGTTTGGATTGGAAGTGACCTCTAAAGGTTATCTCGTCCAACACCCCTGCAGAGACCTTACACTAGCATGAAGGGATGCGTGCGAGGGTTCGAGGTGTCTCCCAGGCTTTGGTATTCCTGTGGCACATTGCCCTTGATCTCTCAGGGCAGATCTGTTCATCCATAGCTCACTCCGGTGCAGAGCTGGCCCTTCGTCCCCATGGGAGGGGTTGCTGGAAAGAGACTTGACCTGTGGGGCTGTGTCTTGTATGTTGAGAGCTTCACCATGGGGATGGGACCACCTGAGTCCCTGCTGGGCTCATGGAAAATGCTCAGTGTGGGGATGAAGACTGGTGTGGCAGCCTGCTCCTTGCCATGACCCCCAGCACAGCAGCCCTGGATTCCTCAGAGGACAAGTTCTGGAGTCCCCAGCATAAGAAAAGCATGAAGCTGTTGGAGCAAGTCCAGAGGAGGCCACAGAGATGTGAAGGCTGGAGCAGCTCTGCTCTGGAGGCAGGCTGGGAGAGTTGGGGCTGTTCAGCCTGGAGCAGAGAAGGCTCCAGGGAGACCTTAGAGCACCTTCCAGTACCTGAAGGGGCTGCAGGAAAGCTGGGGAGGGAGTTTTGACAAGGGCAGGGAGTGATGGGATGAGGGGGAACAGTTTCAAGCTGCAAGAGGGGAGATTGAGATGAGATCTGAGGGAGAAATTTTTTGCTGTGAGGGTGGTGAGACCCTGGCCCAGCTTTCCCAGAGCAGCTGTGGCTTCCCCATCCCTGGAAGTGTTGAAGTCCAGGTTGGATGGGGCTTGGAGCAACCTGGTCTGGTGGGAGGTGTCCCTGCCCATGGCAGGGGGTTGGGACTGGATGTTTTTGAAGGTCCCCTCCAACCCAAACAGTTTGGGATTCCGAGCCCTGGCTTATTCCATTCCCACACCTTCTGCACCCCCACTGACTGGACAGGCCACAGTTCCAGCTCCCCTGGGCATGGGCAGGGGGAAGAAATATTTGCTTTTCCCCTTGGTTACAGGCTGGAGCCGCCCGTGGGCTCTGCCGAGCGGGTTGTTGTGAAAATCCTGCTTACGCAGCTGCCGTCCCCTCTGCTCTTCCCAGAGCTGCAAGGAGGAGTGGGTGGTTCAGGGCGGGGGGCCAGCTCCTCCCAGAGTCTCCCAGGACCTGATATAAGTGTTAATGTCAGAAAAATATTGCAGCTTTCCTCATTCCCAACCCCTCTGCTCCAGCTGTTGGGTCAGTGACAGCGAATGGGAGCAGCGTGTGGGTAATGGATCGCAGATGGAGGGACCCAGTGGGGAGGCTCTGCCTTCAGCACCTGAGCTGGGGCTCCTCGGGCACCCCACAGCTCCACAGGGTCCCCTCAGCATATCAGCCAGCCTGACCTCAGCACTTGATCATTTTGGAGCCCCAAAATGGGGTTGAGTTCAAGGATACACCCAGTGTAACCCTTTGATGGCTGGAGGCTTTTGGAAAGCTCGTTGTCCTCCAGTGGACACATGGACCATTAGCTGGGGAGGGGCAAGGCTGGAGTGGGGAAGGGTGCCTGCTGGACTAGGGACAACCCAACCTGTTGTACCTCCTCCATCTCTGGTTTGGTCCCACTAAGAGCTGAGCTTCCTCCCCATGGATGGGAGGTGGCATGCGGTGAGGTCCCAAAGCCCAGGGAATGATCTTGGATGGAGGTGGGCATTGCTCATGTCCATGGATGAGCATGGTCTCATCCCCAGGAGGTTTGGCTTTGGGGCCATGTTGCTTCATCTGCTTCACTTTCTCCACTGGGTTGATGCAAGCTCTGGACTGGGGCTAAGCTGCCCCTCAGGGCTTCAAGGGCAGAAAGCAATGGCAGGGAGGCACCCAAATGTCAAAGGGGTGGGAAAGTCAGACTCTTCCCCCTCCTTTTGTTGGTGTCTCCTTGGAGTCATCTCAGATCTGGTAAGGGCCTAAGCCAGGCAGCACTCGACCTGGCATGAAGTTGCTGCTCTCAGAAATCTTGTATTTCTGCAAAGGTCTGGCAGAAAAGTGCTGGCACCCGACACCCTGTACCCTGTCCTGTCAGCACAGGGTCACCCTAAAAGCTGAGGTGTCACTCTGAAGCATCACTGCACCCCTGGGGCTGGGGGCAGAGGGGTGCAGGGTCTGTATCCAGAGTGGGCTCCAGATCCCACTTTCGATGGGACCTGGCCCAGATTTCAGTATGGGCTGAAGCTTTGAACATGTACAGAGCCCAAAGCTGGATGAGTTCACTGCTGCTGGGTCCACAGCACTTTCCTCATTTCTCCTTGAATTTTCCTCACACCTATTTTAGGCATAAAACCTGAGCCCCTCTGTGCATGGGTCCTGCTGCTTGTGGCAGCATCAAGGAGGGAGGGAATGAGGGCAAAGGGTGGGAGCTGGAGAGGTGACAGCTCAGCAAGGGTGGGTGATGCTGATCTTTTCCCACTTAGGATCACAAAATCCCAAACTGGTTTGAGTGGGAAGAGACCTTAAAGATCATCTAGTCCCAACCCCCTGCCATGGGCAGGGACACCTCCCACCAGACCAGGTTGCTCCAAGCCCCATCCAACCTGGCCTTCGACACTGCCAGCAAAGAATTTCTTCCCAAGATCTCATCTCAAACTCCCTTCTTGCAGCTTGAAACCATTCCCCCTTGTCCCATCAGTCAATGTCCTTGTCAAAAATCCCTCCCCAGCTTTCCTGTAGCTCCCTCATGTACTGAAAGGTGCTCCAAGGTCTCCCTGGAGCCTTCTTTTCTCCTGAACAACCCCAACTCTCCCAGCCTGTCTCCAGAGCAGAGCTGCTCTAGCCCTTGGATCACCTCCATGGCCTCCTCTGGACTTGTTCCAACAGATCTGTATCTTTCTTGTGTTGGGGACCCCAGAGCTGGACCTGGCTCTGCAGAGGGGTGTGAGCAGAGCAGAGGGGGACAATCCCCTTCCTGGCCTTGCTGGTCATGTTGCTGAAGATACACCCTTGGACATGGTTGGTTTCTGGCTGCCAGTGCATGGTTCTGGCTCAAGGTGAGCTTCTCATCACCCCACATCCTCCAGTCCTCCTTGGGGCTGCTCTCCATCCATTCTCTGCCCAATCTGGATGTGTGCTTGGGTTTGCCCTGACCCATGAGGACTTGTGCCAGCACTGGTGGCCCGACTCAGAAAACCACACGGATCAACAGTGGGGCCTGCAGAGCTGTGCCTGCACCCTCCAGGCATTGCCAAAATTCTATTTGCAATATTTTTGCCTCGTGGGAGATGGACCCAGCGTGGATTTGGTGCATGATTCTGTCCCTGACACCCTGCTCTGTCTCCTTAGGTCCTGGGAGAAGGATGAAGACAGCAGGACGCTGTGGCAGGCTGGGCTCCTTGGCAGCACTGAAGTATGCTGTGGTGGGACTCTACCTCCTCGTCTTCCTCATCCTTGTTGGAGTCTTCATCCTTGCAGGTAAAGGCTGAGTCTGGGTCCTCCAGGGCAATACTCCCCTGTGTAGGAACTCAGGGAGCTCAGTCTGGCCATGAACATGGAACCACATTTCTTTCAGGAGGGTTTTTCACCCCATCCAAAGGAGGAAAATATGGGATCCAGTAGAAGCAGGGTGTGGAGGTGATGCCTGCCTTGGTTTGCAGCCTTGCAAACCTTGGTTTGAAGTGGCTGCAAACCAAGACAGGCATCGCCTCCACCCCCCACTTCCAGCTCCTTGGGGACAAGGATGTGACTCTTGGGTCTCACTGCAGGGTCCAAGCATCATCTTCTGGGGATGATAAACCTCAGGAGAGGCTCAGGAGCTCCAGGTTTGGAGCTGGAATAATTCCCATCACTAGGTCTGGAACAGGCTGCCCAGGGCAGTGGTGGAGTCCCCATCCCTGGAGGGATTTCAAAGCCGTGTAGCTGTGGTGCTGAAGGACATGGTTTAGTGGTGGCCTTGGCAGTGCTGGTTCAAGGTTGAACTTGATCATCTTTAAGGCCTTTTCTGACTGAAATGATTTAATGACTCTGATTTTGGGATGATTTTCTGTGCCTTGCCTAGTGCAGGCGGCTGATGGGAGGATGGATCTCCTCCTTGCTGCAGGAACACCAGCCCCATGAAAGCTGCCAGTGTCTTTTGCAGAGTGTGGATTTGGCTTTTTCCTGGGCTGGGGAAGGGATGGAGACGGTTTTGTTGGAATTTGGAATCCTCTCCTTCTTCTTTCTTGCATTACATTGTTTGAGTGTTGTTGTTGGCTCATGCAACCCCTGGCGAGGGACGCTGTGAATGGTGCAAAGAGCTTGGGACAGGCAGCTTGTCCTGGGCTGAGCTACAGCTGCTCCCCCCAGAGCTGCTCCAGAAATGCCAATAACCTCACGGCATGGACAGGAGGCTCATGGTCGTGGCCATCTTCAAAGCTCCACCTCCTGGGGCTTTGACTGTGAATCCTGTGACTGGCAGGATTCCAACTCTGAGGAAGACCCCAGTAAAACCATCTTACACTCTAGGCTGTAGACTACAGTTTTGGAAAAGAAAGGTGAAATGATGAGAAAAAGAATGTCTTTTCATGGTTGCTTTCTTCATGTCTGGAATTTGAAGCCAAGCCTCTGGGTTTGGAGGTAGGTGACTCCGAGGTCTGGAGCTGGCTATAACTGGAGTGGTCTTATCAAATCAAAGAAAACCACAGGCACAGGGTGGTCTTGCACCAGGGTGAGGAGACCACATCCATTTGGGAGCCATGTGTAGCCCAGGGAGATGGTCCTCAGCTTCAGGGATCTGCAGCTGAAACCTTGATGTTGTAGCTTGATGGTCTTTGGAGGACCAGGACTGAATATTCAGTGGTGGAGGGTTTGGTTTTCCAATGGAAAATCCCACCTTGTGCACCTGGAGATCAACGACCAGCTTGCCAGAGCTGAGAGCACCTGCTTAGCATCCCCCATGTCCCATCAGAAGGTGCACAGAAAGACCCAGCGTTTCATGAAGTAGACTTCTTGTCACCCACTCCTTGGGCTGGGAAGAGCTGACCATGATGCTGCAATAGGAGTGTTACCCTCTGATGCCATCACAGACTGGTTTCAGTGGGAAAGGACCTCAAAGATCATCTAGTTCCAGCCCCCCTGCCATGAGCAAGGACACCTCCCGCTAGACTAGGTTGCTCCAAGCCCCATCCAACCTGGCCTTCAACACTGCCAGGGATAGGGCAGCCACAACTTCTGTGCCCTCCTAGTGTGAAGACCCTGCACAGAGCAAGTTCCACCTTGAGCAGACACCATCCCACCCAGCGTATACGAGCCAGGGGTGTCCAGACCTCCACCCACCCTGGAGACAACCCCTCAACACATTCTCGTGTCCCCAGCATGTGCCCCTGCTGGTTTGGTTTTTTTTGGTGAGGCATCTCCCCCAGGCCCCATTTGGAGCCAGCTTGGGCAGGTGTCCCACGACTCACAACGTGCTCCATGGAAATAGCTTCAAAAATGAGCAAACTGCTAAAAATACCGTGAACCACCTCAGAGCTGTGGAAACAGGATGTTTTCAGCAACAGAGCTGGGGTTGTTTTGAGGCCACCTGCTTTTCATATCCTCTGGCAGGGGTTTTCTGGCTTCTGGGGATACACATTCCCTTCCTCCCTGTCCCTCACTCCTCCTCAGCCACTAAAAAGGTGCTGAGCCCTTTTTAATCATTATTTTGCAAGGTTTAGGTTAAATTCTGCCCACCTTCATGCACAGAGCTGCAGTTTGGTGCTTGTACCAGGATCCCTGCACCTGAGTACTCAGCCCTGAGCTGCTCCAGCAGCAGCAGGAGGCCAGGACTCTTTAGGATGTGGCTAATGAGCATTAGAACAGATGGGAATCCCACTTGCACCCCATCTCCCTGCTCATGTTTGCATTGAGAGCAGCCACGTTTCCATGCTCAGCACCTCTGGGTGCCTGGAAGAAGTATCCAAGGAAATGAGCATCCTCCTTTTTGAGACCTGTAGCCCCAAAATACATACTTGAAGGATGTCAGGTCAGATAGATTCATAGAAATGGGGAATGGTTTTGGTTGGAAAAGACCTTCCAGATCAGCAAGTCCAATTGTTAACCTAGCACTGCCAAGGCCACCCTTAAGCCTCTGGAGCCCAAGTCTCATGAGGAGCAGCTAAGGGATCTGGGGGTGTTCAACCTGGAGAAAAGGAGACTGAAGGGAGACCTTCTTGCTCTCTACAACCCCCTGAAAGGAGGGAACCAGAAGGGCTGGTCTCTTCTCCCAAGGAACAAGCAATAGGACAAGAGGAAATGTCCTCAAGTTGTGCCAGGGGAGGTTTAGATTGGATATTGGGAACAATTTCTTCCTGGCAAGGGTTGTCAGGCCCTGGCCCAGGCTGCCCAGGGCAGTGGTGGAGTCCCCATCCCTGGGGGGATTTGAAAGCCCTGTAGCTGTGGTGCTGAGGGACATGGTTTAGTGGTGGCCTTGGCAGTGCTGGGTCAATGGTTGGACTTGAGGATCATAGAATCCAAGACTGGTTTGGGTTGGAAGGGACCTTAAAGACCATCTAGTTCCAACCCCTGCCATGGGCAGGGACACCTCCCAGTAGACCTGATTGCTTCAAGCCCCATCTAACTTGGCCCTGAACACTTCCAGGGATTGGGCAGCCACAGCTGCTCTGGGCAAACTGTTCATCTTCAAGGTCTTTTCCAACCAAAACAACTCTAAGATGTCTTCTGCAGCTCCGTAGCGCTGCAAAAGCTGGATGGGAATGTGAACATGTCCATATTCAATGTGCTCTTTGCAGTGTCTCTGTGGCTCTATGTGAGCCTAGAAGGGGGGGTAGAGAGACTTTTGGGTCAGGGTGCACGTTCTCATGGGGCACCCATGGGCAGCCCCATGACTTCCTGCCTTTTGCTGCCATCCTTGGCTGCCCCTTGGCTCTGCAGCACCTTTCACATCCCTGCACACGTGTTTGCCAGGAGTGACCCTGCACGGGGCTGGTGCTGGGGGGGTTTGGGTTGGATTGGGGGGGGCTCTTGCAAACCATTTCTCTTTGTGGATGGCTGGCAGGAGGACAGTGTGTCCCCGGAGTACATTGTGGGAGGGAACTGTGACTCATGGTGTCCTTGGGGGCCATTGGATCATCCTTGTACTGCGAGGGGCTGCCTGAGGGTGTGGGGAGGGGGTGCTGGGTTAACATGCAGCATCAACCCAGCACTGCCAAGGCCACCACCAAACCACATCCCTCAGCAACACAGCTACATGGCTTTGAAATCCCTCCAAGGATGGGGACTCCACCACTGCCCTGGGCAGAAGTTAACACCTTCAGTGCCTGAACAGAAGCTCAGCTCCTACCTTAGGGCACCTACCAGCCCACAGCAGACTGGGAGGGTGGCTGGTTGCCCCACGGTGGTCCCAAGCCCCCCTCTGCAGCCACAGTGGGTCCCCCTACCCCATTTCTGTGGGTGGCCCCGGGCCCTTGGCAAGTTCCCTGTCCTGCTTTTGCCTTCTCTCCTCTTCCCCCCGTGGTTTTAATTCAAACCAAAAGTCGGTGCCGGGTTTCTCCTCAAGGGAAGCAAAGGGGGTTCAGCTGCCAGGAAGGTCTCGCGCCAGCTGAGGCTTAAAGAACAATGGGATTTATTTATTCTCTTTAATGTATTTTTTTGGTTATTATTCTCATTTTTCATGTGGGTTTGGGCTTTATGTCTTCCTGGGCTGTGTTGGACGCTCAAGGTCAACGCAGTGGAGGGAGAAGATGATACTTCCCTGCCCGGGTCGGTGGTTTTGAGGTGCACCAAAGCATGCAGAGGAGCAACAGGAGCTGGGATTGGGCTTTACTGGGTGCTACTGGGCTTGCTGGGCAGGGGGGTTCTGGAACAGTGCTGGGAGCAAGAAGTTCCCCCCAGGTTTCCAGGTTTTTCTCTGCAAATCCCACTTTGGTGCTCTGGGAGCTGATGCAAGTCCAGGAGGGGTTTGGCCAGGAGAACTCTGTTACCAGGGCTGCAGGGGAAGGGGGTGAAGGATGCTTCTGAGCTGGGGTGGGGTTTGTCCCTCTTTCTCTCCTGGAAGCCCTGGGATGCAGGATGCTCCTGAGCTGGGATGGGTTTTCTCCATTAGGAAGAGGGCCTGGCAGCCCTAGGATGAGGTGGCTGGAGGCTGACAGCAAACCCCCCCAGAGCCATGGAGACCAGCTGAGCCAGCTTGATGGTCATCACTCTGGGACCAGGGCCTGAGCTCAGGCCCAGGATCCATGGCCAGGAGGGAAATATGGTTGGTCAACTGAAAATGATCATTCCAGTGAGAGGTGAAGCCTGGTTTCAAGGTCTGGTTTTAGGAAAGGGAAGTGGGTGCTGTCAGCAGCTGGTCCTTTGATGACAAGCAGGGCAAAACCACAAAGTTTTGTAGCATCATGATCCATCTGGCAAAGCCCAGAGCCACCCCAGAGCTGCTGGGAGCCTTTGCTGTCCTTCCAGAACCAGGTGCCTCCTTATTCAGCCCTTCATCAATCAAACTCCTTCTCCAACTGTGAAGAAAACCATGGGGCTGAACAGGGGCTGGTGGGATGAATCTTTTGGTGGTTGAGGTCAGGCTTTCATCACCAAGAGCCAGGGGGATGTCCAAGGCCTTGTTAGGAAAAGACAGGGTTTCACCTCTCAGAAGTGTCCTCACCTCCATGGGGTGGTTTCTGATGTCACCTTCTCTCCATCCCTTGCAGTCTCCAGGCCACAGACATCCCCCGAGGACCTGAAGGTGCTGCTGGGGAACGTCAACCACCTCAACGAGAGCTTTCGGGACATGCAGCTGAGGCTGCTGCACCTACCTCTGAAGGGGGATGTGCTGGATCACATCTGGAGGCTCCAGGACCTCCTGCAGAACCACTCGGACTCCTTGTTCCTCATGACAGGGTCACTGCAGAAACTGGAAGGGCTTCTCTGGAGCCTGCAGACCCAGGCCAGCCAAACTGACAAGGCAGTGTCCAACCTGTGGGACAGCTTGACCCAGCAGAGCGACACAGCCCAGCAGGAGATGTACAAGCTCTGGGTGGAAGGCAATAGCAGCAGGCTGCTGCTGCAGCACCACGACCACCTCCTGAGCCACCTGGGCAGCAGAGTGGAGAGCCTGAGCGAGCAGGTGACAGCCGTGAGCGGGGCCGTGGACACCGTGAACAGAACCTTCTCCTACGACGTGAACATCCACCACACCCGCATCCAGGACCTGCAGGTGCTGATCAGCAATGCCACGGAGGACGCCCGGCAGATGCGGCTCCTCCACATCGCCATGGAGGAGCAGCTGAAGCACGAGCTGGCCATCCTCGGCAACGTGACCGAGGACCTGCGGCTGAAGGACTGGGAACACTCCCTGGTGCTGAAGAACATCTCCGTGATACGGGGTAAGCTGAGAAGCTCCGCTGAGGGTGGTGTCCTCGGTGCTCTGGCTGGTGGTGAAGGTGGCCCCTGTGGGTGTCTCGAGGTGTATCAGATCCATCAGTCACCGCTGTTTAGTTGTCTGCAATGTTCAGGTGTCTCCATCATCTCGGATTTTGCATAGCTGGGACTCTCCAGATGTTCCCCCATCCATGTCAGGAAGAAAGCTTCCAGGGTTCCCTCAACCATGCCTGGGAAAACTCTGCCAGGTCCTTCCTGATCATGAAAATTAGCCAGAGTGAGCATGGCAGAGACTGTGAGGTTTTGTTCCGCTTCATGCTGCAGTGATGAAGCAGAGGGATGCCCATCAGCTGCCCTGTCACCATCGATCACTCCCTGTACCATCCATTTAGTCCATCTTCCTTCTCCTGTCTTCTCCTCCTTTACCATCCTCAGCCCCTCCCAGATCATCCAATCACAGAATGGGTTGGGTTGAAAGGGACCTTCAAAGGTCATCTAGTCCATGAGCAGGGACGTCTTCAACTAGATCAGGTTGCTCAGAGCCCCATCCAACCTGACCTGGAATGTTTCCATGGATGGGGCATCTCCCACCTCTCTGGGCAACCTGGGCCAGTTTCTCACCACCACCCTCAGCCTGGTAAAACAAACAACCCAACTGCTGACTCTAGCCCATTGACCCTAGTCCTGCTGATCCCCTCTTCTTGGCATTTCTGTGGTTGCCTCAGTAACCACCCCCACCTCCCTCAGTCTGCTCAGCATCTACTCCCTTCATCTTAATTATCTGCAAGGTCCAGCCACTTGTCACACTGTTATCTCCTAAGCGTAGCTGTGTTGCCAGGGTTAACCATCCACTTGGATATTTCTCCCTCTCTGATGTCAGGAGTTTCCAGCTGGTTCATATCTTACATCCCTGTGTCCCATAGCACTGAATCTCCTGGAACAGCCCAGCTCAGGTTGAGGTGTCCACACTGGAGAAACCCATATCTGCTATGGTGGATCCCAGTCCAGTTGCTTGATTTGACAGGGGAGCAGGAAGAGGAGGGTCCCTCTATACTGCATCAAGGGAGAGGTGGCTTTTCCTTCAAAGATCTTAGAGGATAAAATGGGTGAGAAAGCAAAGGGAAAGCTGCAACTCCTTGGGACCAGTTTGGCTTCGTGGGATGATGTGGAAAGGAAAAGGCTGGAGCAGCTCTGTTCTGGAGACAGGCTGAGAGAGTTGGGGCTGTTAAGCCTGGAGAAGAGAAGGCTCCAGGGAGACCTTAGAGCACCTTCCAGTACCTGAAAGGGCTACAGGAAAGCTGGGGAGGGAGTTTTGACAAGGGCAGGGAGTGATGGGATGAGGGGGAACAGTTTCAAGCTGCAAGAGGGGAGATTGAGATGAGATCTGAGGAAGAAATTGTTTGCTGTGAGGGTGGTGAGACCCTGGCCCAGGTTTCCCAGAGCAGCTGTGGCTGCCCCATCCCTGGCAGTGTTGAAGGGCAGGTTGGATGGGGCTTGGAGCAACCTGGTCTGGTGGGAGGTGTCCCTGCCCATGGCAGGGGATTTGACCTGGATGGTCTTTGAGGTCTCTTCCCACCCAAACCATTTTATGATTCTATGATTAATATGCAGAAAACAAAACAAATCCCTCCCAGTGGGCCCAGCTCCTGATTTATCAGCCATTGCTCTGACACATTCCTGGCAGTCCCCACCTCCCTCTCTCCTCATCCCTCCCCTATGCTTCAGTAAGCATAGATGGACCATGGGGCTGGGTGTTTTCAGGACCCTTGTGCCCAGCTACCTTTACCCCATCTCCAAGTGTCCTGGGATGAATCTGCTGTGCACCCAGCTGGATTGGTACCAGTGGAGCCAGCCCTGGGAGATGCATTTTCCATCCCCTGAGTCCTTCACTACTTCAGGTCCTGGCTTTTGGAGGCTGTTGGCTGATGATGGCAGCTTGGGGAGGTCCCCAGGCTTGTCTCCAGCAGCTGACCACACCAGGCAGCTCGCGTGTCTCAGGGAGGGCTTGGCCTCCCAGAGGAGAGGGGGTTTGGGTCTTAAAAGTTGGGCGGGAGTGTTGATCTGCCTGAGGGTGGGAAGGTGCTGGAGAGAAGGGAGAGAAGAAGGCAGAGGACTGGGAAGCTGCACTTGTGGCAGCCAATTTAAAGGAGCAAAGGCAGCTCCAACCCCCATCCAGCCAAGAGGTGCCCTAAGCAGGCAGCTCCCATGTCCCTTCCAGGGTTAACAGAAGTGAGGTGGGGCCCTGGTGTGGGTGATTTCCCAAGTGTGCCCATAAAACCAGAACAGATGGAAACTGTCGGAGCTGCCTCCGCACAGGGAACCTCAGCTGGGCTGTGCTGGACCTGACATTTCGTGTCAGCAGTAGTTTTGCTCCAAGGCCATTGGTTTGGAACCCCTTCCCTTCAGAGAGTACGGTCAGGGCAAAGTCAGAGTGACAAAACTGTGGAGGCCTTTTCTCAGTGGCTCCCACTGTGGATATTTGCAGGGCTGCTTTTAGTTTTGCTGCTGGTGGGAAATCATCTGGTTTGTTTAAGCAAGTGGTTTTCAGAAGTGCAAGCTTTGCCATGCTGGGTTGAAGCAGGGGAGGGAACAACTTGAACCCCAACCCATGAACATGATGGATCATGCAGTTTTCGGTGCTCATCCTGGGGCACCTGGGACCTTCTGGAAGGAGATAGGCTTGTAGAAAAACCCCTTTGCCTTGACACTACCACTGCTACCCAAACTCACCATCATCTCTGCCAAGCCCTGGCACTATGGCAGCTCTGCTGTCTGTGGTGCCCTGTAGGCTGGAATTCATGGTATTGACTTGTTTTAATTCTTTAATTCATCATTTCCCATCAGTTCTTTGTTTCAGGAAGGGTTGGGTGTTACTGGGCAGCCTAAACATACCCACATTGTGCCACTTCACCAAATTGGCATGACTTAGAAATCACAGAATCATTCAGGTTGGAAAAGACCTTTGAGATCCTCAAGTCCAACCTTTGAGACCCTCAATGTCCTTCTGGTGGATTTGAGGTGTAGCCTCACCAGTGCCTAGCACATCAGGACTTGACCTCCCTTTTGCTCTTTTGGGGCACTGAAGGTAAATGGCTCTACTTAACACCATCTATTTATGCAACCAGATGCTTCCTATTGTTCATTTATTTGCCCAGTTTTTCAAACTCCAACCAGCAAGTTATTTAAGTACATATAGTTTTACAATGAAGGTGGTGAGACACTGTCCCAGGTTGCCTTGAGAGGTGGGAGATGCTCGATCCTTGGAAACATTCCAGGTCAGGTTGGATGGGACTCTGAGCAACCTAATGTAGTTGAACACGTCCCTGCTCACTGCAGGGGGTTGGACGAGAAGTCCTTGAAAGGTAGGATCCTTCCCACCCAAACCATTTGTGATGTAATGGCTGTTGTGTGATGCCCTGTAATGCTCTGGGAATTAAAACTATTTCAGCACCTTTCTACAGCCCACACCTCTCTGGGCTTCTGCCCTGTGTCCCCTTGTGGAGCTGCTCTTGAACATTGCTGGACCTTCTCCATCATGGAGAATCTTGCCTCTCCTTCCCAGGGCCAGGCAGTGTCCCTGCTGTGTGTCATTCCTCTTGTTCCCACCCAAAAATGCCTCCTTATTGTACTCAGTTCTCCCGGGTATCTATTATTCTTTGTGTCCTTTTGTTTTGCCAGCCCAGAACAGGAGAAATGTCCCCAGGGTCTAGGGTCCATCCCCACCTTCCTCTCAGCACCCAGTGACGTGCATCACCTGGGGAAGAGGAAGCCCAGCACTAATGCAATGATTCCTCTTTCCCAGCCATTGACCACCTCCAGTTTGGACATTCCCTGAGCTTGCTGTGGCCCATCTCCTGAGGAACCTGCTTATTTCTGCATGATGTTTGCAGCTCCTAATTCCTCGTTCTTTGGGGCTGCTAAAACATCCCCCCGCTTCCTCTCCTGATCCTTTCACAGCCCCACGTCACCCTGGTGCATTTGTTGCTTTCCCCATGACTGTGAGATTGTGGCTTTGAGGGTTTCTAGGAAAACAGCATTTAACAGTTTCCAATTATCACCCAGGCTTGGTAGGACAAAGACCAAATGACCCCTCCAGGCCTCTCTCTGCCCTATTTTCTGTCATCCCAAGAGTCTTTTTTATGCTTTCTTTTTTCCATGTTCAAATTCTTTCTTCCAATTGATTTAGCTCATAATTGTTTTCAGCTTTGGAGACTTGACCCTTTGCAGGCTCTGGAATCAAATGCTATTATAGAGTTGGATTTTCTGCTCCCTAAAGGCACGACCAATGGGCTGGTTCCTGGTGAGATCAGGGCTGCAAATCCCCTCCTAATGTTCATCTCAATATTTCCAAAATTGATTTATTTCTTTTTATTCTGAACATTGTTTCACTGGAGACGTCAGAGCTTCTGGTCTCTAAGAAATTCCAGGAGTTGTACAATTCAGGGGGAAGCTGCAAGGTGGAGTTTGCTGGCATGTGAGACAGGTTGATGGAGTCATATTTGGCCCTTAAGATCCACAGGTCATGGACGAAGGCTGCTGGAAGCTCCTTCACTGTACTGCCCTCCAATCTGCAGGCGTCTGTGGTTATTAGAGGTGCCTGGACACATAATTAAGGCTGATGGAGGGTGGGTGGGTGTGTGGGTACACTCACACATCTGCTGCAAAGCTGGAGCATGATGGTTGCACTCCAACACCTGTTGTGTTTCAGGGCCACCTGGACCCAAAGGAGACCAAGGAAATGAAGGGATGGAAGGGGAACCTGGTCTTCCTGGCCTGCCTGGGCTTCAAGGTAAGGAATATGTCCAGGGTGCCCACAACCCTGGAAGCCTTCACCCAAAGTCTGTAGAGTCAACAGGACATCTCCTGGTGACCTCCCAACCTGCCCTTCAGGACTTCATTCACTAGGTTGGATGGAACCTGGAGCAGCCCAGTTTAGTGGGAGGTGTCTCTGCCCATGGCAGGGGGGTTAGAACTAGATGAGCTTCAAGGTCCCTTCCAACCCAAAGCATTCTCTGATTCTGGGCACTAGTCTTGAAGAACAACAGGACTAACCTGCTGCCCCATCTCCAGCCAGACTACTAGTCTTTAGGGGCAGAAAGTCCCTCTGGTCTCCCAGATGGCCCCAGGACAGAGAGGGCTGCAAGGGTCCATCACCGGCAGGTGGGTGCCCTGAGGCTCCTTTGACACAGCCACTCAGCCCAGGTTTCTCAAAAAGCTGGCCACCACCCTGTGCTTCCTAAAACCAAGCTCTTACAAGGTTCTGGGCCTGGCCCCACAGCCTGCACCCCCTCCCCAGCACACTGTAACCCAGCATGGGATCCCACCAGCCTGGCACAGGGAACTCGGCTGCAGCTCTGGGGTTTTGTTCACAGGCCATTTCTTTCGATGTCAAGAATGTGGATGTTTTCCCTCTTCTTAAATTCAACCATTGTTTTTGAGACAAATTCAATTTAAAAGGAACAGAAGACCCCCCCCCCACCACCCTGAGAAACGAGCCTGGGCTTGAGCCTGTTTCTAATTTTATGGAAACCTAGAAATCCTGGCTTTGCAGGATTTGCACAGGGATGGCACGGAGGTGATGGAAGGTCCTCTTTGGTGAGGACTTTCTGTCCCCAAGAGCTTCTTTCCTACTGAGGTGACAGGATCCATCCTGCTTGGACCTCCTCCTCCACCCAAGGTATCCAGCCTCGGCCACACGTGAAGACACGACCCACGTTGGACTATCAGTGTCAGAGCAGGGAAGATTCAGCACACCTGAGAGTGACCTGCTGCTCCTGGCCTGGGCTTAAAACCTCCTGGTTTGGTGCCCCTTTTCTCCCTGCTCCCTGGTGGGCAGCAGGACCAGCCAAGTGAGGCACAGCCAGCCAGGAAACCCGATCGCTCTCTGAAAGCTCTTCTCAGCTCATTTCACCCTGACAGCTGTATTTGTGTGTGTGTGTGTGTTGACAGATTCTTGGCTGTTTTCCTTGGGTGTAACAAGCATCAGAAACACATCGTCTGGCTTCTTGCCTTTTTTTGCTACTTTCTTTTTTGGTTTGGTTTTGTTTAAACAGGACAACAAGAAGATTCCTGCAGGGTTCACCTTCAGCAAGAGTTATTGAAAGAACCACTATTTTGAGGTCTTTTTCCATCTTGCTTTCTCTGGTGCTTTTCTGGACGTGGTCACAGCACCAGAATTATAAGGTCAGGTTCAGGTGCAGCATTCCTGGTAAATCCCCTTTTCCACTGTGGATCTGCCCTCCTCTACACAAATCCATGGCCAGGTCCTTACATCCTGCAGCATCTCTCTGGGTCAGGGAGGTGAGGTGTTGGCCAGACACAGCAGGGAAAGGGTTAAGCCCCAGACCACGTCCACTGGAGCTGGTGCCCAAATTCCTCCTGGCAGCTTTTCTTTTTTTTGGCCTTTTTGGTTTTTTTCCCCTCCTTAAACCAGAGGAAAATATTGACTAAGTTTGGAAAAGCCCAGCCCAGGGCCAAGGGAACTGAGGGCTCCATCACAGGCAGGGGTGATGGGCAGACTGCAAGGCAGGACACTGAGCTCAGGTGCTGGAGAAGCTCCATCTCAAGAGCTTCTCTCCCATGAGCTTTGGATCTGACCAAAACTCAGGCTTGGGCTGAATCCCTGCTGGGTTGATCTGCTGGTTGATCTGACTGCTTTCAGGTCCCACCAGAGTCCATCACAAATCACCAGAGGTGTCTCCCTCCACCTCCCCTTGCTGGCTTGCATGGTCAGAGGTCACCTCTGGAGCTTGGATGTATTCCTGATGAAAGGTGCTTAAGCTCCCAGACTAGAGCCCCATTTCCCACCTCCTGGAGGTCAGAAGACCTGAGATAAGGGGGTTTCATCCAAGCCCTTCCCCAATAAAGAGCAAACATACCTGGTTAGCATGCACGGATGGAAGGATCCTGCAGCTCAAGCTGGGTACCTCATGTCTCCTTCAGGTCTCTTCTCCACACTGGCTCCTCACTCTTCCTCCTTGATCTCCAGCTTTGGAGCTCAGTTACCTCAGCCTGAGCCCTAAGATGCTCAGGGATGCATTAGCATGAGTCCATCTCTGGGTTAAAGCCCTCGTGTGTCCAGGGGCAGGTGAAGAAAGAGAGGATGAGTGGACTCTCCAGTATTTCCTGATGGACCCTAACTCCTGGTCAAGACCTGGAGAGGTCTGCTGGCAAGCAGGACACGTGTGTATATCTAGTTTGTGTCGGTCTTCACTGCAACAGAGTCATTTTGACTCTTTGTCCCTTTTCCAGGGCTGCCTGGGGAGAGAGGACCACCAGGACCACGTGGCTTGAAAGGAGACCAAGGAGACCTTGGTCCCCGAGGTCCAGTGGGGTTGCGGGGGTACAAAGGTAAGTACCAACCTCCTTGCATGCTCCTGATGGGTTGTGGGGTCTGGATGGGCTTGTTGGGCAACGAAGTGGCTCTGGAGACCACTGGCAGAGAGCTGGCCGTGGGGGTGAGGGTGGTGGGTCTCCTAGCTTGGGACCCACCTGGAGCTCCTGGAGCATGTACATGAACAACCTTTTCACCCAGACCTTCCCACCAAGGCACAGCAGTGGAGAGAGTCCAGAGACTGGAGGCAGAAGGGCAAAACAGTTTGGCTTGGGATGCTCCTGCCATGGAGTGGGCAGTTGCCTGCACTGAGCCCTCACCAGGGCTCTGTGAGGACCTGTTGGGCTGCCCTCCCACACTTGGCTCCAGCAGGATTTCAGAATAGCTTTGTGTTTGTTTTCTGGTGACCTTTTCTGGCTCCTTGTGGTTTGACAGCATCTCACCACACCCCAGCTCAGGGCAGGGAGAAGCTGTGGGTGGAGGAAGTGGCCATGCACCTATTTAGCAGAACAGATCTGTTCCAGGAGACCTTTTAAAAGAAGTTCCATGCTGCAACCCAAAAAAAAAGGATGGATAGTCCCAAAACACACATTTTCTGCCTCAAAATGCCTTGCAGGCAGGAAGAGCCCAGCCCAAGGGAGCAGCACCTCCCTGGGCAGAGCCCAAGGGGACCAAAGTGGTGACCACCCCTCATCTCCTGTTTATGGTTGATGTTGACCTAAGATGTGGCCACATTTGCCACCAGGACCTGAGATCATGGCCACAGACCAGTGTCCAGGTCTGGAAAATGCCTGGAGCTCTGCAGGGCACCGGACACAGAATGTTCCTGCCCCTTCTGGAGGAAGTCCTATGGCTTAGTTGTTTTACAGGTTCTTCCTCTCCTGTGTGTCCTCCAAAGTGCTGGTCGTCACCAGGGGCAGAGGTTGGGTGAGACACTCATGCCGTGTCTGGTGGCCCATCCTTCACAGGTGATAACCACAGTGTTGGCCATCTTCTGTATCTTGCATGCCACCAGAAAGCTCCTTGTAGTCTAGGGGGAGGAAAACATCTTCCATCCCTTCTCTACTTTGTGGTGTCTTTAGAAGAAAGACCTTTCCCAGGAACAAGGCATCCATCTCCCGGTGCCTCCTGGTGCAGCCCCAGGAAGCTTTAGGTCCCAGTAGAAGGGACATCCCAGGAACAACCTCTCTGCAGACACAACATTGAGGATGAAGCCTTTCTCCAGTGCTTACCATCCCAGCAGGTGGTGGAGACCACCCCTAGCACAGCCTCTGCTTCCGGGGGAGAGCTGTGGCCACACCACAGTAGTAGAGCATCAGCCTCTGCCTGCTTGGTGACCCTTCCCCAAAGCCAATCAGCATCTCAAGCTCCCTTGCCTGGGCAGATGAAGTGCTTCTGCTCTTGGTTTTAGGAACTGATGGATTAGAAGGTGCACCAAAGCCAGCAATGGCAGTCAGCAGGTCATTGTCATGCTTCCACTGGTGTACAGTAATTCCTGTACCTGAGGAGGCCTCTTGGCATTAAGAATCATGAAATCCCAGGCTGGATTGTGTTGGAAAGGACCTTAAAAATCCTCCAGTCCCAACCCCCTGCCAAGGCAGGGACACCTCCCACTACACCAGGTTGCTCCAAGCCCCGTCCAACCTGGACTTCAACACTACCAGAGATGGCTTACCATCCCAGCAGGTGGTGGAGACCACCCCTAGCACAGCCTCTGCTTCCGGGGGAGAGCTGTGGCCACACCACAGTAGTAGAGCATCAGCCTCTGCCTGCTTGGTGACCCTTCCCCAAAGCCAATCAGCATCTCAAGCTCCCTTGCCTGGGCAGATGAAGTGCTTCTGCTCTTGGTTTTAGGAACTGATGGATTAGAAGGTGCACCAAAGCCAGCAATGGCAGTCAGCAGGTCATTGTCATGCTTCCACTGGTGTACAGTAATTCCTGTACCTGAGGAGGCCTCTTGGCATTAAGAATCATGAAATCCCAGGCTGGATTGTGTTGGAAAGGACCTTAAAAATCCTCCAGTCCCAACCCCCTGCCAAGGCAGGGACACCTCCCACTACACCAGGTTGCTCCAAGCCCCGTCCAACCTGGACTTCAACACTACCAGAGATGGGGCAGCCACAGCTGCTCTGGGCAGCCTGGGCCAGGGTCTCACCACCCTGACATTAAGGTTTACCCATCTCCAGGGCTCCACCAGCCCTAGCCTGGGTGTGCCTCCTTCCTCATGCACTTCTTGGAGGTGTTGTTTCTTTGGGGTGAGGGTGACCCAGTGGTGGCAAAGCCATCAGGTATTCCCCCCAGAGCATGGAACAACCCCAGGTCCTACCAGAGCCCATCACTAACACAAGGCCCCCTCCCTCCACCTGCCCTTGCTGGATGGAGGTCACATCCAAGGCTTGGATGAGCCCCTGGGCTACAGCCCCCGTTTCCCACCTCCTGGGGGTTGGGGGTGCTCAGATAAGGGGGTTTTATCCAACCCCTTCTTGAAGAAGTAGCAGCCCTCCCTGGCAGCAAGCTCTGGATTTCTACAATTTATGGGATTCTCTGAGATTTATAGGAAGCAGCCCCTGAGCCAGGGAACGGTCCAAGCCCAGGCTTCAAGCAAAGGCCTGATTTTCTGCAGCACCATCTTACGCATCTAGGATGACTTTCTTCTGAGCACAGAAGAGCTATCGGCTCCACATCTGGGCTGGATCAGTCTCCTCACCCAAAATCCCAGGTCAAACCACCTTTGTGAGCTGTCCCTTGTCAGGGAACAGCTTCTCCTCTTCGCAGCAGAGTCCCGAGTACTTTCCTTTCTTGGTGTTTTCCTGCCCTTGATGCATTTTCTCCTGAAATTACCCCAGTGAAATATTGTTTTCCTCGTTTCCAAATGGGGAAAATAATTTTGGAAAGTGAGTGTACATCAGTCTCCTTCACTCCTCCATGGAGAACATCACACAGAGGACACGTTCAGGAGGAAACAGCAGTAGATGAGCTAAGGCAGGGATTACTAATCTGTAAAGAAATTTGAGGCAAGGAGACTGGTCCTCTTCCTGAACACCGTGGGCCAGGCAAGGAAGAGGTTTTTGCTGTGTTGCTGAAGGCAGAACATGAAGATAGGGGTTTGGCAGCTTCTCCCAGGGCTTGCTTCAAGACCATGGTGGTCCTATTTTACCCTGCAGACCCAGGAGCTCTTTCCATCCTCAACCAAAGATGTCCTCTCCTATGAGCTTATCAGGTTTTGCACCCTGACTCTTCCAGTGGTGCCAAGTTTTGGAGCAGGGGTGATGCCCAAGAGCACGACATGGGTTGGGACTGTTCTTCTGCCATGGGAAGAGCTGGTAGTCACTTGTCATAGCATCTGTGCCAAAATTGTGTGCATGGTCCAGAAAAACCAGACTCAGCTGCATTGGGAAACAGCCAAGCAAGACCTTGACACTCATTGGGTCAATAGGCAGGACCACCTGGTAGGACCAGAGGTAATGGCAGCAAGGGGCTCTCCTGAGATCATGGGCTCTGTCCCAGCCCTGAGGGTCTCTCTGTTCCAGGTTTCCCTCTAGACCTGACAGCTCAAGGAGCTGTGCTTGACCCAGGGTGAAGTCAGCAAGCTGTGCCACCAAAGGGCCTGTCCTCTGCTCCCCAGAGAGCTTCTGTGGGGAAAAGAGAGATGAGAAAGTGGGAAAAAGAGAAAATAAGGAGAAAGGTCTTCCAAGAGAGCAAAGAAATGAAGGGGCTTGGAGGGTTACATAGGAAAATCCAGGGTGGATGGGGAAGGATAAGGCAGAGGGGATGGGATGTGTGACTACTCAGTCCCTGAAGTGTTCAAGACCAGGTCAGATGGGGCTTGGAGCAACCTGATCTAGTGGGAGGTGTCCCTGCCCATGCAGGGGGATTTGAACTGGATGGTCTTTAAGGTCCCTTCCCACTCAAACCAGTCTGGGATTCTAATGCAGTAGTGCAGGGTAGGGAAGCAGAAGCAGCCCCAGGACAGTGTGCTTAGACCCACTGACCCATCCCAAAACTCCTATGATGGGCTGTTCCCCAGCAGTGTGTGGGATGATGGGTCCAGCCATGGAGCCCTTTGCACCTGTTCCCCCTTCCCCATCTGTGACCAATTCCTGCTTCATAAGAGCCAGGCTCTCACCACCCTCACAGCAAAGAATTTCTTCCTCAGATCTCATCTCCATCTCCCCTCTTGCAGCTTGAAACTGTTCCACTTCATCCCATCACTCCACGTCCTTGCCAAAAGTCCCTCCCCAGCTTTCCTGGAGCCCCTTCAGGTACTGGAAGGTGCTCTAAGGTCGTGGCTCAGGGTGAGCTTCTCATCACCCAACACCCCCACTCCTCAGGGCTGCTTTCCATCTGTTCTGCACCCACGAAGCCTGGCTTTGTGCTCAAGACTGCCCCAACCTGTGTGCAGGAACTTGCACCTGGCCTTGTTGAACTCCATGAGTTTGCCACGGGCCCTCCTCTCCAGCCTGCCCAGGTCCCTTTGGATGCCAGCCCTTCCCTCCACTAAGTGTCCACAGCTTGGTACAGCTTGGCATGGTCAGCAAACTTGCTGAGGGTGCCCGTGATCCGAGTATCTATGTCACTGACACAGCCATCCCTTGTGCTCCACCTTTCTCCTCACCTCTCTCCATCATTCCTATAGGATGCAGCCCAGACCCTGCAAGGAAAGCATTTCTGCTCCAGATTTTTGGGTACAAACACAAAAGAACTGTGACTGTTGCTTTCCAACCCCCTTCCCTCCTTCAGGCTGGGGAAGGAAAGTGGTGGAGAGCACGGGCTGCTCCAGCCTCCCAGCCCCATCACGTGCTGGCGAGCGGCATCTCTGGCCTCTCTCCCACTGCTTTGGGGGGTTGTTGTCATCTGGTTCCCATCAGTGGGGCAGGCTGCAGGCAGCTTTCCTCCATCTGCAGCTGCCCAGGGGAGCCATCCTGCCTTCCCTCAGCCTCCAAGTTAAAGGGCAAGAATTTCCTGCATGCTTTTTATGATTATTATTCTTTTATTTGATGAGACATTTCCGCGCGTGTTGTTTGTTGTTCTAACACGGAGACAAAAGAGGAGGATATTCTGGAGGGGAGGGGTGGGGGGTGCCAAAGGGTTGGGGCTCACCCGGAGCATCATTGGCTGGAGCAGCTTCCCCAGCCTTTTCCTTCGGGACAAAGGCAGGACCAGCGAAGCCAAGGTCAGCAAAGCCAGGACCAGCAACGCCAGGGCCACCAAAACCAAGTTCAGGGTCCCACTCGGGATGGCATTTTCAGTGATGTGTCCTGGGAAAACACAGCTGCTTCCTGGCAGGAGCAAGGCTGGAGTGTGGGCAGGGGTTAAGGAGTGGGGTGGGAGGCGGGCAGAGGCACCAGAGCAGCAGGGAAAGCCAAGCCATGCCACCCCCCAACCATCCCTGCCTTTCCATGGATTTGGGCTCAGCAAACCTGCTTGGCAGGAGGTGCAGCGAGGGGCGATGCTCCCCCAGGCTGCAGGACACCAGGTGCCTGTGTCTGACCCCTGCAAAATGAAGACATTTTGGCCCTCAGTTGGGTTTTTTTTTAGTCCTAAATTGTTTTTTTTTAGCCCTGCATTGGGGTTTTTTTTAGCCCCAGATGCAGGGTTTGCTTTCCTTTATTCCTGCTCGGCTGCTGCCCGGTTGTTCAGAGCGGGGGGTCCCAGGTGGCTGAGGGATCTCCCTCCTCCCTCTGCAACGGGATGTGCACCCCAGGAGGATTTAGGGGGGGGTTTCCCATCCTCAGCTTGGGGAGTGAGAAGGTGGGTCCATGCAGGACCCCCAGGAGGGGTGACGAGCCGGGCCAACAAGTAATGCACTGCTTTGTGCCTCAGTTTCCCCAAAGTGATGAAGCCCTCCAAGACCTCCAGACGTGCAGCGTTACCTGAGAGTGGTCAGTACCTGGTCTGAGCAAGGTTCATGCCCCGTGTTTTTTGCTTTCCCAGGTGAACGAGGCCCGAAAGGAGAGAAAGGGGACCGAGGCGGTGGCACAGGTAAGGTCTCATGTCACCTCCCCCGTGCTCCAGACAGGGTGTCAGCGCTGTTTGAGGGCGGTAGGGGGTGGTGCTTGGGGGGCTTAGGGTGGTGTTTGAGGGGCTCCACCTGCGGGAGAAAAGTAGGAAAGCAGCAGCTGGTGCTGGGATGAGGCTGCTGAGCTCTGAGCTGGGGTTTTCCTGCCTGGACACGGAGGATCCGGAGCAACGAGAAGGTGGGAGGAATGTCAGCAGCAGCCAAGGACCAAGGATGCTTGAGGAAAGTGGTTGTGCGGTTCAGGCATAGCAAAGTAGGACGAAGCACCTTGATCTGCAGCCCCAAGACCCCATCCTGGACTGAGGATTCCCAAAGCTGTCTAGGACTTTCTGTTCCCTATTTCTTCCCTGGAAACAAATAGGATTGCTCACGTTTTGCTGGCAACATCACCAACCTGAGATGAAACCCGAGAGGAGTGAGGGGCTGGAAGGACACAGCTCTTCCACCCATTGCCCCATGGCAGGATTGGCCCCAGGAAGCGTTTTTCTAGGGTTTTTCCAGGAGACACCCATTGGGATGGAGGCAGCTGGACCACACCATGCTGCCCACTGGGGCTGTACCACTGCTGTGGGGTTTCCTCTGGGGCCAAGAGCAGAAGGTCCCACCAACCCCCAGAGTTGGCCATCAGGGCTGGTGAGCCAAGGAATTCCTGGGCTCAGGGAATGAGCCCAGGGTTGGATCCTGCCCACCCTCTGCTGCACCACAGCTGTGCTCCTCCCAGAGGCACCTGGAGAAGCTGATGGTTGAAAGAAGGTTTGGACATCGCTCTTGGGAACACCCCTCCTGCCTCCTTGGGGATATCCCTTGTGCCTCACTGAGCACATCTCGCTTTGAGAACATCCCTCCTGCCACCCCGGCAACATCCCTCCTTGGGGACACACCTGCTATCTCGGGTACCCATGCAGGGGCTCCAGGTCCCTGTCAGCAGCCACCACCACACCCAAACAGGTACCAAGCAGGAACAAGGGGGCAGCAGGAACATCAGTTCTGGGTGCCTCAGTGTAAGAAGGACACTGAGGTCCTGGAGCGTGTCCCGAGGAGCAACCGAGCTGGGGAAGGGTCTGGAGAACAAGCCCTGTGAGGAGAGGCTGAGGGAACTGGGGCTGTTTGGAGGAGGCTGAGGGGAGACACCTCACTGCAGTCTGCAGCCACCTGACAGGAGGCTGTAGGGAGGTGGGCGATGGCCTCTTCTCCCAGGTGGATAAACAACAGGACCAGAGGAAACGGTCTGAGCTTGGGCCCGGGCAGGTTTACACTGGATATTGGGAATAATTTCTGTACTGGAAGAGTGGTCAGGTGCTGGAATGAGCAGCCCAGGGAGGTGGTGGAGTCACCGTCCCTGCAGGTATTTAAGAACTAGATGAGGCCCTTCAGTTCATGCTTTAGTGGCCTTTTTTCTTTTTCTTCTTCTTCTTTTTTTTTTTGGGGGGGGAACAGTTAACAGTTGGACATGGTGATTCAAGAGGTCTTTTCCAACCTTGAAAATTCTGGGATTCTGTGATCTTTAAGGTCCCTTTCTACCCAATCCAGCCTGGGATTCATTCTGTGATTCATACCCCACATCTTTCCCCCTGGAAACCTGACATTTGCATCCATATGTCCAAACAAGAAGGACTGGAGCAGGGACAATGGGGAGCCCAGAGAACCAGGGGCAGATGGTCTCCATTATGTGAGGGGAGATGATATCTCAGCCCAGCTGCAAAGAATCAGGTCCTTGTTTTCTCGGCCACCGGGAGTTATTTCTCCTCCTTAGCTTTTCCTTTCTCATTTGGCTGGTTGAGGGAGCTGGGCAGGGGGGCAGGTCGAGGGGTTTGGAAGGAATTTGTACAGCCAAAACAAATGCACACGCACAGGATGAGAAATAAATGCTTTGGCTGTTTATGTGGTACGTTGGAGAGGGAAAGGGCTGGAGAGCTGCTCTGAGATGGACAGGGCCAGGCCACTGCACAGACAGAGAAAATGGCTGGGATGCTCCTGTGTTGCTTTGGAGCTGGAGCCTGGGGAGGACCTGATCCTGGACAAACTTCTCTTTAATATCGTTAGCAGTGATCTGGACAAGGGGATTGAGAACACCCTCAGCCAGCTTGCATATGGCACCAAGATGGGTGGGAGGGATCCAGAGGGATGTGGACAGGCTGGATCAATGAGTTGAGGTTCTGCAGAGGGACCTGGACAGGTTGGATCCATGGGTTGAGCCTCTGGAGAGAGACAAGGCCAGTTGTACAAGGTTCAACAAGACCAAGTGCTGGGTCCTGCACTTGTGTCACACCAACCCCAGGCAAAGCTCCAGGCCTGGGGAAGAGCAGCTGGAAAGTGCCTGGTGGAAAAAGGACCTGGGGGTATTGGTCACCACTGACTAAATATGAGCCAGCATGTGCTCAGGTGGCCAAGAAGGCCACGAGAATCCTGGCTGATATCGGCACTAGTGTGGCCAGCAGGACCAGAGCAGGGATTGTGCCTGGGGTCAGTTTTGGATCCCTCACAGTAAGAAGGACATTGAGGGTCTGGAGCACAAGTCTGAGAAGGAGCAGCTGAGGGAACTGGGGGTGTTCAGCCTGGAGAAAAGGAGGCTGAGGGGAGACCTTCTTGCTCTCTGCAACTGCCTGAAAGGAGGTTGGAGCCGGGGGGGGGGTTGGTCTCTTCTCCCAAATAAAAGGCAATAGGACAAGAGGAAACAGCGTCAAGTTGTGCCAGGGAAGGTTTAGATTGGATATTGGGAAAAATTTCTTCCTGAAGAGAGTTTTCAAGCCCTGGTACAACCTGCCCACTTCTGAAGGGATTTCAAAGCTGTGTAGCTGTGGTGCTGAGGGACTTAGTTCAGTGGTGACCTTGGCAGTGCTGGGTTAACAGCTGGACCTGGTGATCTTAAAAAGGTCTTTGCCAACCAAAACACTTCTATGATTCTACCCTTCTACAGCACATCTAGGTGGACAACCCACTTTGGTCCTAGTGCATTTCCCAACAGCTCTACCAGCTCCTCTGGGCCAGGACTCTAGTGCATCCCCAGCTTCAGCTGCAGCTTTTGCAGAGTTTCCAGGGTTCATGGGTACCAAAACAGACCTGGGCTGAGCTGGGCTTGAGCTCTGGGGCTATTGTGGGCAGCTGGCACTGCTTTGGGAGGAGACTTCTGGGGTTCATTATGTTTTATTAGCCCTCTGAGCAGCGCTTGTTAGAGGCTAAGTGGAAGGGCTGTGGCCAGGACTCACGTGGGTGAGCTCTGCGGCTTTAGAATCATCAGATCATTTTGGTTGGAAAAGACCTTTTAGATCATCAAGTCCAGCCGTTTATTAGCAGCCCTCACCCTGCTGTCTAATGGGAACATTAATGGGAACATGCCTGGATCCCTGCCCTGAGTGCACATTTCTTCCCCTCCTTGTCCTCTGGCACGCACAGGGCTCTGAGGAGCATCCAGCCAAGAGCTGGGGTGAGGACAAATTTGCAGGAGGAGGAATGAGGATGTTGGGATGAGCTTGGGTTGGAGATACGAAGCTGGTCCTGGACAGGATAAGCAACCAGCCAGTGTTGGATACAGGAGACTGGTCCTGGTCACCTGCCTGCTTTCCTGGCACAGGGGAACACTGGTGGCTCTGGAGGCAGAGCTAGATGTTTTCACAGAGGGGATCATGCTGTCCATGCCCCATTTAGCTACTGCTTTCCCATTGCCATTGCTGACACAAGGTGACAACACCCAAGGAAGGGTCACCTCCCCAGGATGCTCCAGGGTGCAAGAGGGCTGACGGTCCCAAAGCCACAGTTGGGACACCAGCACTGGACCTTGTGCAAGCTTGGCTTGGCAGAAGCAGCTTCCCTGGCAGCTCCAGGCAGCATCCACCGCTCCAGCGCACATGTTCTACTCAGAAGAGTTGCTTCATCCATCCCTCAGATGACACCATCCCTGGGGTGAGCCAAGGCAGCTGCTCCATGGCTGGGAGGAGATACCCCACCCCAGATGACAGGGACTGGTTGAAGAAGACAGCCAGCATGTCCCAGATGAGCCCCTCAGCTGAGATGTCCACAGAAAGGCTGTGGCCAGTATCAGCAAGATGGTCCAGGGACAGCATGAGATGTTTCCTGGCTCCTCCATGAATCTTACGCTCTGCCCAGATCCAGGAAAACACGCTCAAGATTTCCAGACCCCTTCGTGAGCCTGACCCTGAGTTGGTCCACACAGTGCTGAGGCCAAGCAAAGGACTGTGTGTTCTGGAGGTCACTGGAGGAGGTGGCCCTGTTCCCTCCAAGAGTGAGCCAGGGAAAACCCAGAGCCTGAAGCATGAAAAAAACAGCTGCTGTGCCGCTCCCAGGCAGCCCGCGGTGCCAAAACCCCCGGCTTCTCTGTCCAGCAGGTCCCAGACACTGCTCTGGTCTCTACCAGTCATATTAACCCTGCACCTCCCAGCCCCGAGAGCCTTGAGCAGGCTGGGATGCTGCTTCACCTACCTCAGCCAGCCTCGTGGTCACCAGCTTGGTTGGCCAAGGTGCCTGAAGAGACCTCAAAGGAACACATGACATCCCAGCACCATGGAGTTAAGGCAGATCATAGGATCATAGAATATGCTGAGTTGAAAGGGACCCATCAGGATCATCGAGTCCAACTCTTGTTCCTGTATAGGGCACCCCAACCCGTGTCAGATCCTACACAGCTGTTGGCAGCTTCTTCTGCACCAGTCATCTCTTGAGGTGCAGAACATTTGGGTTCATCACTTGAGGAGTCATTGTGGTCAATGTACCAGCAAAATCACAGTGGATGAGAAGGTTTTGTTCCCTTTTGTGTTCTTGGGTGGTTGTGGTGGTTTTGGTGATGTGGAGGAAGACCACAGCCCCCTGACCTCTTCTCCACTAGGGACCAGCCTTGGGTATAGAGAAGGAGCTGGAGTTTTGATGGTCATCAAGGAGGAGACCTTGCTCTGCCTCAAAACACTTCCCGCAGCAATCCCAACCTCATTTATTGTCATGTTGGAGAAGTGGTGTCATTGGGGATGTCCAGTGGGAACATGTGTTTTGATGGGGGGGAAAAAAACCACAACCCACTTGGGCTTTGACAAAATGTTTTTAAATGAAAAAGTATTTAAATAAAAATCTCTGAACAGCTGCAAGACAACCTTGTTGGGGGGAGCCCAGCTCCACCCGTGGCTGTTGTCCCAGCCCATGGTGAGTCATGGAATGATCCCAGCTGCCTGATAGGGATTTTCTGTGTTCATCCCCTTTCTCATTCCAAAGAACAGGATTCGTGGTGTGTTCCTTTCACTGGGTTTCGTTGGCTGGAGGAGGGAGGAAGAACTGTTGTGGTTTGGTTTTGGTGGTGAGCTTCTCAGTCTTTCCCCTATCAGACAAACCATCACCCCCTCCATGTTTCTTCCTGGCTGAAAGATGAAGGTCTCACGTGGCAGGAGGGTGGTGGTGGTGGGAGGAAGGTTAAGGAGCCACAGAAAAGCAAGTGCGAGTGGAGGGAGCAAAGCCCTGGAAGGGAGGAGGACAAGCCATGTCCCCTCACCTCAGTTTGGCATTTTGGACCAACATGAACCTCACCTCACCTTCCCCTCAACCATGAAGGGCAGGTTGGATGGGGCTCAGAGCAGCCTGGTCTAGTGGAAGGTGTCCCTGCCAATGGCAGGGGGGGATGGGACTAGATGTTCTTTAAGGTCCCTTCCAACCCAAATCCTTCTAAGATACCATGAAGCATAATAATCCATCTGGGCAACGTGGACTTGCGCCAGGGCCCTGTCTCCAGGCTGGAAGAGCCCTCCCAGTCACTTAAGATTCCCTTTCAAGTTCTTTTTGGAAACTATTTGTGCCTCATTTTTTCTGGCATCTTCCTCATCCAACATGGTTGTTCAGATCTCTCTTCTCATCTCAAGCCTGAGCTGTCTCAGTCTGGTTACACCTGGATGGCCTCAGGAGCAGTCCTGCCTCGGTCCCTGCCCTTCCTGCAGAACTTCTAGGCTGCAAACAGGTTTCTCATCCTGGTATGACCATGGCAAGGCTCAGCCTGCTGCAACAAAGCCTGGGTTTGATGGGGGCTCCTCCAGCACCATGCCTAGTGGTGACGGGATCATAGAATCATAGAATGGTTAAGGTTGGAAAGGCCCTTAAAGATCACCAGGATCCAACCTCCCTGCTACGAGCAGGGACATCTCCCACCAGACCAGGCTGCACAAGCTTCACCCAACCTGTCCTTAAACACTTCCAGGGAAGGGGCTTCCACAGCCTCCCCGGGCAACCCATTCCAGTGCCTTCCTACCCGCGTGGCGCAGAATTTCTTCCTGATGTCCAACCTAAACCTCCCCTCGTTCAGTTAAAAACCGTCTCCCCTTGTCCCAGCCCTGCCCTCCCTGGTGCAAAAGCCCCTCCAGCCTGGGAGGGCACAGGAGGGGGGCGAGGGGCAGTGCTGGGGAGATGCCACCATCCCTTCTCTGACCTCCCTCTCTCCTCTCCCCCCCCCCTAGCAGCGGTGACCGAGGAGGGGAACAGCCGGCTGGGGAACGGCC